AAGGGAATGGTGCTCGATGCCAAGGGCGATTTGGTGGGGGAGAACGTGCACGTTGACAAGGAGAAGCCCAAGAAGAAGGCGCAGCTTGAGGCTGAAAAGGAGCATTTGCAGAAGCAGATTGATGCGCTTCAGGCACAGCTGGCGGAGTCGAAGCTGTGATTTTTGGGGGGGAATTTCCTTGTTTTCATTTCTTAACTTGCTTTTCCTTTGCATTCACGGTATGAGTCAATTGGGCGGCGGGCTATTTGAGCGCGTCTTATCAAGGCGATCATGGGTGGCTTTTTTTCCATTTCACGTCTGGTCTATACCCCTGCATGTAGCATTCCTCTCAGTCAGACGTCGTGTCAACTTTTCCAAGTCACTTCTTCCCCACTAAGCAAATGCATCTGGGATTGAATTTGCCATGTAGCAAATCTACCTGAGTTTGACCTGCAGCACCCCCTTCCAAGCGTGCAACGCGCTATCAACATATTCCAATGCATATGCTTCCACATCCCAATCTCTGAGAAATGGTTTCAGTGCTTCGCCTGTCTCGCCCCACCGTACCTGTGCCTTGATTGCAGCTGCACCCTTCTTCTCGATTAGGTTGATGTAGCTATTGGCCACATCACGTATCGCATCATAGCACATCTTTGTTTCCGTCTCAATTTCGCTAACCCAGTTCTTTGGTAGCTTGGACTTGAGCGGGTGGATGCTCTTCGGACCGAGCACCTTCTCGCGGAGTTGATCGTCCAATCTAACAAGTGCGCGGAGAATCTCCAGCTTGGTGTAGCACGAGATGAGCATGTTTTCATGAAACATGGTGGGCTCATCCTCCAGCTTCAACTTGGTATTACTGGGCATGCGCAGCTTCTCCATCGCAAGGCGCATTGCGTGAAGCTCTTCTGACATCTTTGTAAGGTTATCAGGGAGCAACTTCGGATCTGCTTGGCCGGCCATGATCTCAAGAAACGCATTGATGCTAAGCCACAACTTTTCAATTCTTTCTTCCGCTAGGGTTTTGTTTGCTTCGACTTCATGGCCTTCTTTGGGGGTAGCAATTTCATCTACCAATAAGCCTACGTTTTCCCACGTCTGCGTCTCTTTGTGTAGCACTCTGCTGCTGGCCTCCCAGATCGAATAACTCTCTATGAGCCACGGTAGATTGGGTACCATGTTGGGCATGATATATGGCAATGGACCAGAAGATTGCGTATTGTCAAAATCAGGGAAGACAGATTTGTCCACATTGTCGATGATGTTCTGGAAACCTGTATTTTGCTTAGCACAGGACAACTCATTGAGCTACTGTACTTACTTCGCCGGTCTAGAACAGGCAGCTGATCAACTGACTCGCCCTTCAGTCGCGCTATGCGACGGCGCTCCAGGTTGCATATGTGTTTTGTTAAGCTTGATTTGAGTTTTCCCCTCAGAGACAATAGACCGATGGCTTGATCCCATGGGATTGTTTTGAGATCCGGGAACATCGTGTCATCCGTCTTGGACTCCATTCTCTCCATGGTACCAATGGCTTTCCCGAGTTCTTCTTCTGCTGAGAAGCCTTGGTAGCCTTTGGCACCAAACGGATGTGTTACTGAGAGGCGAGATAAGACGTATGGAGAAAGAGTGTGAATTAACATCTCCTTGCATTTGGCGTAGCTGTACATCTGGAAAGCAGACTTTCCAAGACCTAGGTTCAGGTGAATCCGGGCAGCGAGTAATGCGCGCGGCCGGTCTTGCTTTTCTTTGTCACAAGCGACTAGGTGGCGTGCGAGCATTGCAGCTTGTAAGAGTAGCCGAGAGTTGGGCGTATTCTCAAAAGGATGGAGGGATTCGTCATAGCGCATGGCGACATGATGAATTCGTAGGAGGGAATAAACCGCAAGGAATCCTCCTGAGGAGCAGGGCTCGTAGAAGCCCGACGATGTACACGACTGGTCAAAGATGTACTTGAGAATACTTGTTTTGTTGCCTTCCCAAGTTTTGTCCGCCACCGACGATGTTATTAGATGATTAATCTTCAGGATGTTCTGCGAGTGTATGTCCCACTTTTCGTCCGTATACTCCTCCTATTGTGACGTTAGTAAGATAAAAGCTTGACTTTCTAAACATTTTGTCGTGCGAAGAAGTAACAGAGTACAGCCTAGAGGTTTCGGATGTCCCGAGAAACAGAAGAATCAGAAAACATACCGTTCTGGACAATGCTTCAGTCGTCAAGGTTCGGAAAAATTGCATTTTACCTCCGAGACCTTTGTTGCCGTGCAATGTTTCTAAAAATGGGCGCATGTCTGCGAAACAGCTGATCAGTGTCGAGTGGTTCTTCCAGTATGTCAAACAGTCGTCTGCCATTGGAACTCCGGTGAAATGACGAAGCTTCATGTATGTCAAACTCATCGCACGATCGTTGGTTTGTAGATCTGTTCCAAAGGCACGTTGTAGGATATCATCAACGATGCGGATAGCCCTAGAAAATCACATAAGTTAGAGCAGAAATAGTAAAAAAAGGAAACTTACTCGTCTTTGGACCGATTCATTCGAACTGCTGCTAGCCAATCTGTCCATAAGTCCATGTTCCAAGCACAGAGTTCCCACAGCGCCTTGGAGTCTGGATTCTCGGCTACTTGCGATATCGCATTTTCGATCCTAGCCAGTGATTCGCTCTCAACAAGAGCCCAATTATGAGTCTCTCTTGAGAGTCTAATTCTCATAATCTGTAAGTCGGCTTGATGCGTCGTCATGAGATCTTTCAAGGTAGTAGGTGGGTTGTTCCAGAGCTCTATGAGCTCATCACATTTACCTTGTCGCGCGAAAATCTCACCCATGAAGCGTAGATCCCGAATATCTTTACACACAATCGGCTCGTCCTAGAACAGTTTAGCATGTTGGAGTTTCTTTTAGTGGGTGTTACTAACTGGAGACGCTTCGTATGCTTGTTTCATTAGCCTACGTGCTAGGTCGAACTGTATCTTAGACTTGAGGCCAGCGCCGGGTATCTGGAGTTGTTGCTCGGCTGCAAGTTGCGTTGCGAGTATCTGTGTGAAGTGGGCATGCTTCTTCATTGATGCAGACACGGAGATGTCTTTGATCTCCTTGCTGTATTGAACGACAGCCTAGAGACTGTTAGCATTTCATGTTGATCAGCCGAGAAGCGTTGTCATACGAAGCGAAAGTCTTCCCAGCATTCTTCGCGCCATGCAGCTTTGCCAAGCGTGGACCATAACTCTTGCCGTTCCTGAGGGCTCAGTGTTTTCGAAGCGCTAAGCCAAACCTTGGAGTTCTCATTGCCGAGTCCACTGATGCAAGAGTTGGCAACGCTGCTTCTTCGCATCGCCTCGGCAAATAGTCTGTAAAGGTAGGCTAGGAGCCGGATATCGTAGGGTCCAGGCTGCTGCCATGCCTGCTGGATTTGGAGAACTACATTCTTTGGGTCTTGGGTGAGTTGCAGTGAGATGTCCGCTTTCCAAGCCTAGCAAAAGATCAGCTGTTAATGACCTGCTTGCATTGATGAATTTGCTTACCAACAGAAATGGGTTCTTGGGGCTTTTCTTGAGAGACTTTTGAACAAACGAGTCTGCAAACTTGGCTTTTGGGTAGTCGCGCTGCGCCTTGCACAATTTATCCCAGCTGTTGCACGCCATGATGCCGGCTAGCGAAAGCGCAAGCGGATGGCGCCGAAGCGGCTGTAATGGTGGTTAGTGATGTTGAGGCTAGCAATCCAATGATTAGTGTAATGGTTGTATGTGCGCTGGTGGTATATTGACGGAAAAAGACGAAAGCGGACATTGGGTCGGCAGCCGCAGGCGAGTCTCGGCTCCACAACGCTCCGTCTCCTTCCAACCACACGAGCATCTTCAGTTGCGTGCCGCACCTACTTCCCGCCGCCTTCGCTGTGACCTCGCCCGCATTACATGTCAGTAGCAGGGTCGGGGAGTCATCTACTAAGATCACGTTGCAGGAAGATGTACTGTACCGCGAATATTATATATATGTGGCATATGGGACTCTGTTATGACATAGTTATAATCCCTTGAAATGCAGCTACTTGCCCTCTACTATCATGCAGTTGCGAATAGTCCATAATCTTGGCGCGTCGGTCATTGGTCAAGGTTTGTGCAAGAAAGGTAGTGGCACACTCTGTTTAGGGATTTGCACGGTTGCCCATGCCCAGTGGTTGAACCAGAGTGCATTATGTGAGCTATGTGGTATCTAACGTCTGGTTGCAGTGATGACTATCTGCTCTCCTTTTATGGAGAAGAACCTGGAACGAAGCACTGTAATAGCGTACCGCTGGTAGAATACAATGGCGATTCATGCTCAGGCCCATGCACATGACATTTTCGGCTCCGATTCTTGGCTCGACATCTCCGCTAGCATAGCACTGTACGTATAAAAACATACAAAGATATGGGCCTGTTCGGTGCTGCGTTTTGCGCCTCCGTTTGGCGGTTTATTAACTGGATTTGGACTCCTTTTTGCTAGCGCTACTACTACACGAAATTAAGCCCTATCTGGTGCTTACTCGTCCTATATTATCTCTTCTTCCAGGAGAATAGAGATGCGTTTTCCAGACGTTGGTCCCTAGCTCTCGCTGCGATTTCAGAACTCTGTTTTGGCACGTGACACAGATCGCGAGCTTTCTGGTTGCAACTATAAGACAGTCCACCCACGTGAACTAAATGCAACTATTGCGGTGTATGGCAGAGTTAATGAATGTGGGTCCGCTAGCAAGGGGACGATTCAGGCCAGGGCAGAGGGTAAGAGCTATACTGTATATAGTACAAGTTATACCTCAACCTGCTGGAATCGGGTATCAAAAAAGTAGCACAGTACAAAACGCAGCACTGAACAGGCCCGAATACTGAGTAGGATAAGAAACTTTTTTTATTTTACTACGTACACTAAGATGATCTCTTCTACCTCGGCTTCTGGACGATTTTCAACGGAGTTTTATGCTCCTTTCTCACAGGAACCCGAATTTCAATGGCTAGCCTTTACTTCTCTTAGATAGCTAGCATACTATAAATTCTGCGACAATCGTGATATACTTATGCTAGTCGCGTGGCTTGTGTATTGCCTGCTAATTTTGTCTATGAGTATCACGTATCCGCTGTAGTTCCAGCCTTTTACAACATGTTCCGGCCATCGACTTTGGCAATAGCGCTGCTCTCAGTGGTCGACCGAGGTGCCTATGCCTCAGAAGCTGACTCCTCTTCATATCGACCGCGGCCTTACATTATCAATGTTTCCCCCTCCTTCATCGAGGACACTCGCCTTAAAGCGTCTCTCTTCCGGCCTTCCCAAGATATCTCAACCCCAGCATGGTTCGATGGTGCCCCCACCTCTGTCATTGCCCCTCTTGCCAAATACTGGGCAGAGGACTATGACTGGTTCAAGGAACAAGACCGCATCAATTCGGATTTCTCACATTTCATAATTAAAATTCCCAAAGTTAGTACAAAGTACAATCACTCGGAAGACCTGCACTTCATCCATCAACGCAGTCCAAGGGACGACGCCATCCCTCTGCTCATGCTTCACGGCTGGCCATCAACGAGCCTGGAATGGGAGAAGGTTATTCCCGACCTCGTAAATCCTCAGAACGAAAGTGCCCCTGCTTTCCACGTTGTCGCCCCCGATGTTCCAGGCTTTGGATTCTCTCTTGCACCTACTACGGCACCTGGCTTCGACGCCTCTGTATACGCTGCCGTGTTTGCCAGCCTCATGCAGCAACTCGGATACTCTCGGTATGCTCTATACAGTACCTATCTGGGATTTGTTGTCGCCCTCAAAATGGTCGTCGAGTACAAGGCCCAAATTATCAATCACATCACGGATCTTTACACCGTATTCGCCACTGCATCTGATCTGGCGCGCTATGCGGCCAATGCAACAACGAAGGAAGAAACTGCATACATCACTTCAATCAACGCCTACAACAACGAGTTTTCCGCCTACGCCCGTGTTCATTCGACACTCCCCTTGTCTATTGCGCATGCGCTGAGCAATAGTCCGGTCGGAGCACTGGCATGGATCTATCAACTTCTGTACCAAGCTGGTGATCAGAACGATACCGACACAGAAATCATAACAAGAACAATGTTGCTCTACATTCCTGGATTGTATGGAAACATCCGCGCATACAAGGAACTGTTTAGTGTTCAAAACTATATGCCTGACCAGACTTACACTGTGCCGACGAGTGTCTTGCGATTTGGTGGGACCACCCGTTATCCCATACAAACAAATCTCAACTATGTGGTAAGTTCTTCTCCCTCAGCCATCGCATAAAAGGACATCGATTGGCTGACAACTGCTTCTTTTTCTTTCTTTTTCCAGTCCCGCAAATGGGTCGAGCGCACGGCGAACGTGACATAGTTTGCACGGCACAATAGGGGAGGGCACTTTCCAGCAGAGAGCGCGCCCGAGCTTGTTGTAGAAGATATCAGAAATGTATCCTCTGGATGTGACGGGTATTAGAAGAGGAACAAATGCAATAGACATATTTACTGAGTTCAAAGTATAGCGAGCTGCTTTGACAAGAGACGACACAGCTGGAGGGTCAGGGACGTCCATGTGACGTCTTTACTCTTCCTAGAGAAACTTTAATAGAGAACGAAATAGAATCGAATCAACATGTTATATTGAATCCTTCATATATGTAGAGCTTGATTAATCTAATCACGTATGTGTACGGTTCGTCCTTTGCAAATCACATATTAATGCGATATAAGCTATGTATTATCTTCACAAGGCTATCGCCTAGGCTCAGGTATCTTCTCTCTACGCACAGATAGAAAGTAAGGACAATGATTAAAAAATGAGTATCGAATTTCTGCGTAGTGTAGAGTTCTAGCCGTATAGGGGTGTAGATGTGCAATTCACTTTTGGCCGTGATATATAAGACAGATAAGTATAGGAACGGACCGCCTAATAGGGGTTTATGCATCAGAACATACATACATTACTCGTACATTCATGCACCGCAAATGAGGCCGGGCTCTCAAAAAGTAGGTCTCGTTCTCTCGCCCTTCCAAAATCCCATGACTTCTCCAGTCTCACCAACCCACTCCTTGACACCAGTGACAACGGCTTTTGCCATGCCCGCATTTGTCCCACTCCTCGCCCGTCTCTTTCCCTGCATTCCGGTCACTCCAACGCTCGACCCGCTTCCAAATGAATCGGGCGCTTTTCCTGGGTTGATATAACTGCTTCCATCGCCGGTCGCATATTCGGAGCCCATCGAGGGCAAAACATTCTCGCCAGCGGACAGGGAAACGAAAAGAGCAAAGGGGACGAGCCAGACGCACAGCCCAAAGTAGGCAGCGATCTCGGTAAAAGTAGGAATATTCGTGTCGCGTGCGTAAGGATACGAAGAATAGGAGTTGGCAGCCGGAGCACTAAAGTGACGAAACCAAAGGTAATGATTTACAATGACGAGCGCTAAAGTCTGTCAGCTCATGTCTAATGCAGTCCTTTGTATGGGGTGCCGCATACCGCAGGACAGTAAGAATAACGGGTCGGTGAGCTTGACGACTGGGAAGCGCCTAAGGTTCTGTGCATATATGCCGTGCGACACAACGCTCAACAGACTTAGCCCGACGGGGAACTTGTCAACGACAAGCAGAAGAAACTGAACGCCAACAACTCCATAGATGAGACGGTACAAAAGCTTCTTTGCCAGTACTGTATGCTCTTCCACGAGCTCGGAAAGGTAGTAGAGCCCAGAAGCTGCATTGAATCATCAGTTCTCACTCGTACGTAGCGCCACCAATCGGCTTTTGACGGTGGAATCAAGTACCTATTGCCAGCGTCAAGAAGGCAAATCCCAGTATGAGGCCAATGTATCCAAGCAACGGTAATATCCACATGGTGAAAGGCGGCCTCTGGAAAAGTATCTGGAGTATTGAAAAGATCGGGAAGTAAGGCAGCCGCACGATGAGGTCAGTCCAAAGGTGGCATCAAGACTAACGGAGAAAGCCGAGGATCCGCGCCGAAGTGTGGGGGTTGAACACCAAAAAGTTGTCGAACTCTTGGCTTTTGCATTCCGCGATAACTCACGATTCCCCCTCTGCCTCTGCGCAGTCTCGTATACCGTCGCATAGCCTAGACATAGCGAAATTGTAAACTAATCGCTCGCCACAGGCTGTCTCTGGGCCAGAAAATCCGCAATCATGTCGCGCCCGGAAGATATTCTGTACGCTTCCCACGCAAAGCTCAGCCATGCGACGCACAATTAACAGAAATCCTATAGACCGCCCGACCTCTTTTACAATGACATCGAATCGCGCAAGTACACAACTTCGTCGCGAATCCAGAAGATTCAATCCACAATGACCCACCGTGCCCTGTCCCTCCTCGCGCTATCCTCGCCTTCGATGATTCTCGACGTCGGCTGTGGCTCTGGTCTCTCGGGCGAAATCTTGTCGCAAACGGCCGAGCAAGGAACACCAGGAGGCCCCCATGTATGGATCGGCTACGATATCAGCGCATCAATGTTGGGCGTCGCACTGGAGAAGGAAGTCGAGGGCGACTTGCTGCTGGCGGATGCGGGGCAGGGTGTGCCCTTCAGGCCGGGAACCTTTGATGCAGCAATCAGCATCAGTGCGGTACAGTGGCTGTGCAACGCTGAGACGAGTGAAGAGAGCCCCACAGGCAGGCTATCGAGATTTTTCAATCAGCTCTACGCTTCTTTGAAGAGGGGTGGCAGAGCAGTCTGCCAGTTCTACCCCAAGAATGATACTCAGAAGAAAATGGTGGCCCAGGCGGCCATCAAAGCGGGCTTTGGTGCAGGTCTGTTGGAGGACGATATGGGTACCAAGAGCGCAAAGACATATCTCGTGCTGACAGTCGGTGGAGGAGCCACTGACGGCGACATCACGGGTGTAGTGAGGGGCATGGAGGGTGTCGATGTCGAAGATGCACGAAGAAAAGCAAAGGGCATGAAGAGGGGCGAGGAGAGAAAGGGCAGCAAGGCCTACATTATGAAGAAAAAGGAAAAGATGGAAAAACAAGGCAAGGTGGTCAAGTCCTCGTCCAAGTACACGGGCAGAAAGAGGAGGATCCAATTCTAGATACCCACGACATCACGAGGTCATGCATAGCACGGAGTTCAGGGTCTGAGTTTTTTTTGGCATTTCATTCACAAGGGTATAAGAATGGTCAATTCAATCATGTAGCATGCTATATACCACCTACAAGTACAGCTCTATGCACATTTCAGCTTGCAGTTGTACAGGTCCCATCGCGTCTAGTCGTCAATGAAATGTGTTTCTTCTGTAACCAATGGCATCGCCAGCTTCAAGCCAACATAAGCCAAGGTCTAGATATGACTGTATCATTGTGCTAGCTCAAAACCTAGCAAATATTGACGTGATAGTCAATTTAAGCCTTCTCCATCTGGTTCAGGACGGCGCGAGTGAACTCGTGGGTGGTGGTGTTGCCGCCCATATCCCTTGTGCGGGCAGTACTAATGGTTGTTAGTTTCAATGCTCTTGTTGTGCTTTGTTCAGATAACTTACCCGTCAGCAATGACCTTGTAGACCGACTGCGAGATGCGGTTGGCGTGGTCATCAAGACCAATGTGGCGCAGCATCATGGCGGCGGACAGGATCAAAGCAGTAGGGTTGGCCTGGTCCTTGCCCTTGATGTCGAGACCGACGTGACGGCAACCGGGCTCGAAGACGGCGACGTTGCGGCCCATGTTGCAGCCAGGGACGATACCGGGGCCACCGACAAGTCCAGCACCAATGTTGGACAGGATACCTCCGTACAAGTTTGGCATCACCATAACATCGAATTGTTGTGGCCTCGAGACGCACTGCATGGAGGCGTTGTCGACAATCATGTCGTTGGTCTCGAGGGTGGGGTAGTCCTCGCCGACCCTCTTGACGGTGTTGCGGAACAGACCATCGGCAAGCTTCATGATGTTGGCCTTGTGGATGCAGGTGACCTTCTTGCGGTTGTTGGCAAGGGCAAAGGCAAAGGCGAACTTGGCAATGCGCTCAGACTTCTCACGGGTGATGATCTTGAGCGACTCGACGACGCCCGAGACGGACTGGTGCTCGAGACCAGAGTACTCGCCCTCGGTGTTCTCACGGATGATGCAGAAGTCGATGTCCTTGTGGCGCGTCTCGTAGCCAGGGATGTTCTTGAGGAGGACAATGGAGGCATAGATGTCGAGCTCCTGGCGGAGAGCGACGTTGAAGGAGCGGTGGCCGGAGCGCTCAACGGGAGTGTGGAGGATACCCTTGAGACCAAGCTTGTTGCGCTTGAGCGATGCAATCGACTCGCGGAGGAGCTCCTCAGAGTGGACGTTGCCAGAGTCGACACCAGAGACATCGACCTGCTCCCACTCAATAGGCACGTTGTCCGCCTTGAAGATCTCCTTGACCGACTCGGAGACCTCAGCACCGATACCATCACCTGCGCATGTTCAATATCACGTCTTTTTTGCTAGTTTCATGTGCGGCTATCGCGCGTACCAGGGATCAAGGTGACGGTGTATTTGCCGCCGAACTTGGTGGGCTTGAAGATGTCCTGGCCGACCGTGGCCATTGCTGTCACTGCGTCAGAATCTCCATGCTGGCTATCTGCTAGGCGGGTGCTTCATACATCGAGTAGCCATGGCGGGCGCCCATCGTGAGGCAGGCTTCGCGCCCCGCAGGAGCGTCTGTACGAGCGCATTAGTACTGGCGTCGCCTTGCACCCAAAGAACACCCAATTGGGCGTGCAGAGCCGGGTTCGTACCTGCGCTGTTCGTTGCGAGGTCCTCGACAGCATGGTGAAGTTGCGGCGTAGGGCTGGTGGTGAGGGATTTGAGGTAGAGAGAAACAGGCTGGAGCTGCCGCTCGCCGAAAAAGCATCCCGAACCGAAGGAAGAAACCGCGCTTGGCGAATGACCGCATCCGTTCAAACCCGCGGCTCGCTGTCTCAAATATCTCCGGCCCTGACTCTCCTTCCTCTCTCATTGCTGCTCGAATCTTTCACGGTTCTTTTTCGTCCTGGAACAAGTTGCGACGCCGGATTTGCTGCTCTGGATGCTGGAGTCTCTTCGTCACCCACTTTTGGGCGCGCAGACCTGTTCGCATGTGATAGCGTAGTACAGTCTTCGCCTCGCACACAGCCATGTCCATTCATGCCACAGCAGAGCCGATAACTATATCGACTCTGTATCAAACTCGAAATGTTCCAAGTTATCGCTTTGAGGTTTTTGCAGCGAAGATCGTTTTTCCTTCCACAACTAAATATAGCATATCAACACCAATGCGCTGCGCTCTAGACTCACTAGTGAAGGGTTTCATAGAACATGATATGAAGTTCTATTTCGAACTACAGCCAGCTATGATAAAGCAGAACGGAATCAGACCCTAGCCGATTAAGACTAACAATGATCAATTACCCACATGTTTTTCTCGTCTCTTATTATCATTACAAGACTCCTATGACATGGCCCCACGTGGAGACTCTCACCTTTACCTTGCTATCCACTTACTTCTAGTGGGCTTCGACCTCATCCTCATTACCAATCTCTACTTTGCCTTTGACCCACATTTCAACACGCTCATCTGATGTCCCACTAACAACGAGAACCAGCAGAACACTGTATTCCGAATCTACGTCTGATCTACGATGAAGGTCGTTGAGGAAGGTTCTGATCGAAGTGCAGAGATGGGTATTTGCATTGAAGGCAGCGCCGATCGTCTGCCCGAGTATGGAGAATATGTCGATCCGGTTGACCATGCAATATGTTCGTATATCCCTTTGGAGAAAGGACAGAAGCCAAGGTTCAGTGGAAAATTCAAAGGAACTGTAAGTCCCATATCAAGCATTTATCCTTGTTCCCTTCTCACAACTAAGCAGACACTTGACATCGTGTGCGACGCCTTTATGGATGGAATACTCCGCAAATCCTACTCCTATGGCGCCAAGGCTGTACGATTCCAAAAGGGTAAAAAGATAGAAATCGACAAGTTCCTGTTCAAGACAGAGGACGGATTCATTGATTCCCAGATGGTGGTCTCTACTCTGGGCATGCCCACGACTCAATCGGATTCACCAGAGACTATTGGGACTATGGAGCTCCGACTCTACTGCACGCGTAAAATCGGCGTCTCCCATGAAGTCAAGGGTATTAAGCAGTATTACACTGGAGACAAACAAGATTCGGACAACGAGGAGAGCGAGACGCCCGACAATGAAGACGGCCAGAAGCACGACAACTCCAATAAGGGCAGTGAGGAGACCAAACAGATTGTGAGCTACAGGCAGATTGCACCCACGTCTCAACTCGACATAGAGAGAAATTCTACTCCTATCAGCGTACGAACAGTAGCCAGTCACTACAACAAGATGGGTTTATCACGACCGGGCGAAGAGCCTTGGGCGATATTCCGGTTCCATTACCGCAGTAAAGGTATGTATGGGCACTTATTACCTGGGAGAACTATGACTAAGACACGCTTTAGAAGCGCTCGAAAGCTCCGGTGTGGTATGTGACCCCATGGACAAGAGACCAACCAGTGCTCGGGTTCTGTCTTTTTTGGAGCCTGTGCCTCCGCTTGTTGCAGAAACAAAGTGTCACCCTCGCACTCCGGCTACAAGTGAAGGACCCTTTTCAAAGGTGAGAGGGATTATTCCTGGACGTTGGAGCACTAGCAAGCGGGGCCCATCTTACTAACGTCCGCTGATAGGCATCCACGCCTATAGATACTAAGCCAAAGTCGCTAGTAGATCCAGCAGTAACAACAATGACCCCAGTTGCCGAAAGTACCACGTCTACAATCAGTGAACCTGGGGCCAAACGTCTTTCCGCAACTACCAAGGAGACACTTCCTGAGCCAAAACGTCTAAAGGTCCTCCCGCCCTCACCTTCCTCAACAGCCAGCTCTCTTAAAAGCCAACTTGCTGAACGCCGCAAGAAGCTTGCAGAGTTGCACAAGAACCACCGCCAGGAAGCTGAGACCTTAGCTACTATCCAGAGAAAGATAGAGCCCTACGAACAGCGTATGGTGGAGGAGCTGGAGCGCATCAACCAAGAGATAACAGAGGAGGAGACAGCACTTAAAGAAGCGGTGGAGCGTCGCAGCCACTTCGAGAAAGTGCTCCAGGAGTTTGAAGATAGCCAAGATGATGCCCAGAACTAGAATGAATTACCAGGCTGGCATCTTAATGAGTATTATGATGGAAATAGGCGTTGGATTTCGTATAGGTATAAGCATCCAGGGCCGTTGAGGCCATTGCACATTTTTGGGATCGGTGATTAGCTCGAGAAACATTGAGATAAACCAACAACTACAGTTCAATTTGAAACGGAAAATAATTTTGAAAAGCTCTCACGAGACAACACAGTATCTCTGCACACTCATTGATCGGGTGCCCGCTCCCTAGACACCCTCATGTTGGCCTTGATTCGCTCCAGCAGTTCTGCAGTTGTCGCTAGGGGAGAAGGATGTAGATTTCGCTACGATATTATTAGCCAGAATCCAGTGACTTGCTGAATGCAACCTTAAAACATAGTAATGTTTTTGGGACAATAACAGCGTTCTCTAAAAACAAGTGACAAGTACTTACATGCTGAAGCCAGGTAACGCATTGGTCATGTGTCCATGTTTCTGGGTCTGTATTTTGATTTAGTCCAACTCTTTGCCAGATTCATGCATCTCTTCCGCATTGAGAATGACGTACCGCCAGTAGGATCTTGACTGGGAAAGATATCTTGACCCCAGATACTCCATGCTGCAACGCCTGCGACTATAGCGGCGAATGCGAAGAACGGCCCCTGTAACAGTTTAAGCATATAACAAGATTGGTGCAGTGAAGGCCCACTATGTATAGTAGACGCCAGGATAGCCATGAGTAACTCACACGTTGTTGCACTGCGCGGTCGATGGGAGTGGGCATGTTGGAGGTTGGTAGTGATACTAGTTTTCTGAGAGTACTGCTTCACACTTGACTGGAATTAATGAAGAAAATAGAGCAGGAGATTTGCGAGTCTTAAGTAGGAATCTGGTAGTAGGCAGCACCACTGATCCTCGCCTCACTTGTGTCAAACGCCACACTCGTCGTCACCCCACCAAACCTAATGCAGCGACGCTTGCGACCAGCCCCTTGGTAGCCCGTGCGTCCAAGCGAATTTCTCTCCACAACAACCAACGCAATTTGCTTGGTCGACCTCCCGAACTTCACGATCCGAATCCAACGACTCGTCGACACATTACCGTCAAGATGCCTTCCGAAGTTTCCGACATTAAGCAGTTCATCGAGATCTGCAGGCGCAAGGATGCCAAGTGTACGTCTACCAATTTCGAAATGGGAGTGGCCTGCGGTCGCAAGAGGAGGAAGTTCGCATGATGATTGAATACAACGGCGACTAAGGGGGGAAATACCTGTGTATAGGCTACTTTATGTGCGAGAACTAGACTGACAGAAATGTAGCCGCCTGCATAAAGAAGAACAAGAAGGTCAACAACATCAAGTTCAAGGTCCGATGCTCAACCAACCTGTACACCCTTGTCCTTAAGGACACCGACAAGGCCGAGAAGCTCAAGCAGAGTCTGCCTCCGGGTACGCAACACCCAGAGAAACCACGTCTACTTCTAGGTTATTCGTCTAACACGCAACAGGTCTTACCATCTCCGACGTTGGCAAGAAGAACCCCAAGGGCAAGCGCACCGCATAAACGGATCGAAAGGCATGAGGAACTGAGGACGGAAGTGTGCAAGGACATCAATGCACGATGCGCACGAAGCATGAAGGCATGGGCGGACGGCGTCACAACGGATAAACCTTGTTCAATGACACTACGGAACCCTTCACATTGGGTTACCACCAGGAATGAAAAATTTCAAAATCGTTCCAAAACACCACAAACATGGCTTGATACAATTATGGTGGCTCATGTGGTTAATACTGCTGGAGAGCTCGCTGTGGAACATACGGCTTCTAGACTGCTGATACCACAACCGCTTCGACTTCCTCTATTCTTGCTTTGCATTGAGTACACATGAATCCGTTCGGATGAATTGCACATTATAAAAATTCCCACCACTCATTTAGAGCCTTCCCAAGTCTATCAGCATACCGAGGAAGGCGTAGTCATTCCAATGGATCGAAACTATTAGATCTTCGCTGATAGGGTGCACCAACCAGAAGTCTTGATCTACGCTATTGTTACAGTACAACATCTCGCTGCATCTAAATATTAACACAACGATAGGACGCAATTACTACAGGTAGTATATGGCAGCACACGGGGTGATCACAAATGAAGCCGAGTACGGCTGAGGTAAGATATAGGAGAGAGGCACCTGCTGCGCCTTTGGGCCGGTTGTCTCATATGATTTATTATGAATGGCGGTGGCTGATCTCATGCCCAACTACATGTTTCTAAGACTGCCCTACTACTGACATGAACTCGTTGCACAAGGCTGGCAGTGGTAAGGTGGAGCATTCCCGCTCAGCTCCGCATCGGTACTGAGCTGCAGGGGACCCCTGTCATGCCAAGCTGACCGCATTCGATGGGAGCAGTGAACACCTGGCGAGCCAGGGACCTCGTACATAAGATATTAGCTCTCGAATGCATTGAGGGTCTGGAGCAAGATGGTTGGACTGTTAAATTCTCGCGAGTGAATTGAATTCGCTCAAATACCTATTGTTACCGCCAAAAGACACGTTGCGCCGCCCAATGAACTCGACACGCGATCCATTCAACCTCCGCAGCAAAGCAACCTTCAAGACACCCTCTGCCTTGAGCATCCTCCAGAACGCCGCCAACAAGACCGCCTCGCAAGCCGTGCAATCGGGCAAGCAGGCAGTTCAGGCCACGAAACAGGCAATTCAGGACTCCGATATGTCCTTCGCCATCCCGCGCAACGTACCCAATTTCGAGAGCGCGCAACGCAAGTTTGAAGATAATGTGTGGAACAAGCTTTCAGGGAACGAGAAGGGCTTGCCAATGTACAAAGACAAGCCTTCAGGAAAAGTTTACGGATATGGTGGTCCGAGAGGAAGGAGGGGTTTTGTGAGGAGCAAGAGGGGAATGGGGTTAATAGCGCTGGTCGTACTGGGGCTCTTCTACTGGTTCGGATGGTCGAGTGGAGGCACAAGCGTCAGTCTATCAGAAGACGAGAAGGACAGAGGGAAGAGTCTGGCGTCCAAGATTGGTGGAAGCGCTACAGGAAAAAAGAGCAAAATCGACTGGGAGAAGCGGAGACAAGCAGTCAAGGATGCCTTCTTACTGAGTTGGAACGCATATGAGGAACACGGCTGGGGCTATGACGAGTACCACCCAGTTTCAAAGAAGGGACGATACATGGCTGAGCCCAACGGTCTAGGCTGGATCATCGTAGATGCGCTCGACACTCTCATGATCATGAACCTGACCAAGGAATACAATCACGCCCGCGAATGGATATCCACAACTCTGGACTACGACAAGAAGCAGGATGTCAACACTTTTGAAACGACGATTCGCATGCTTGGTGGTCTGCTGTCGGCACACTATCTACAAGACTTGCTTCCTGGAATGAAGCCTTCGAATGCCAATGACGAGGATCTCTTCCTAGAGAAGGCAACGGATCTTGCCGATCGCCTCATGGGCGCATACGACTCACCTTCAGGTGTGCCTTGGGCCAGCGTCATTCTCAAGGATTCCAAGGGTGAAGCCTCACACGCCGATGGAGGTGCGTCTTCTACAGCCGAAGCGACGACTCTCCAACTCGAAATGAAGTACCTCGCTTTCCTGACTGGCGAATCACAATACTGGACTTCAGCAGAGAAGGTCATGCAAGTCGTTGATAACCTTGGCGCCAAAGACGGACTGCTTCCCATCTTCATCTACGCAGACAGAGGCACATTCCGCGGCAACGAAATCCGATGGGGCAGCCGTGGAGACAGTTACTACGAGTACCTCCCTAAGCAGTACCTGCAGACGCAGAAACACGAGCCAGTGTACCAAGAAATGTGGAACGAGTCTCTCAAAGGCGCAAAGAAGCATCTCCTCACCTACACAAAGCACAGCCACTTCACCGTCCTGGCAGAGCGTCCCAACGGCATAGAAGGAAACCTGCACCCCAAAATGGACCATCTCGTCTGCTTCCTCCCAGGCACCATTGCTCTAGCCATCACCGAAGGCGCCACCCTCGCCGAAGCCCGCAAGCTGCCCACATGGGGCAAGCAACAAGAAGAAGACATCACTCTCGCCCGCGAACTCACAAAAACCTGCATGGGCATGTACAAAGTCACGGCCACAGGCCTCGCCCCTGAGATCGCCCACTTCGTCCTCGACGACCCGCCCAAAATGTACCGCACCGAGATCCTCGCCTCCAAATCCGATCTCGACACCAGCGTCGCCGACGGCGAGGGCTGGAAGAGCGACTTCGACATCAAGCCCGCGGATACGCACAACCTGCAGCGTCCGGAAACCGTCGAGTCGTTGCTGTACATGTGGCGCATCACCGGCGACGAAATGTACCGAGAGTGGGGCTGGGAAATGTTCGAAAGCTTCGTCAAGCACACCATTGTGCCCGAAAATGGCGGCTTCTCCAGTGTAGGCGATGTGACCAAAGTGCCGCCTCCCACAAGAGATAATATGGAGAGTTTTTGGTTGGTAAGTTTTTGCATTCACGCCTCTCCCCCCTCCCTCTTATTTCCGAAAAAAAAACCCCCCCACAGTTTAAAAGGACAAAGACTAATGTTAAATAATAGGCTGAGACGCTAAAGTACATGTATCTCCTCTTCTCACCTGATGATCTCTTACCTCTAGATCAAATCGTCTTCAACACAGAGGCTCATCCTTTTCCCCGCTTCGATCCAAGCAGGAAGCGGTTCAAAACGGGTTGGCAGCGTATCCCGAGGGATGAAAAGGGGAATCTCGTACCGCAAAAGGCGGATGATAAGGAGACTTCGTAGAGTGGGTATTGAAACGCTATTTTTTTCTTTTTTTTTCTGGCTTGGGTGCCGGCTTTGGTACTACGAAGCGTTGGGGGGGCAAGGTGGTTGATGTGCATCAGTGGGCGTTCTGGGTTGTAGCATTTACACGTAGTATATGAGTGCTTGTTGACCGCCGATGCTTGGTCCTGTGCTTTTACGTATCAATACAATTCGAACCCATATTCATGCTTACTATGTCCCGTAGTGAGGCGATGTCGCATGCAAGATTCGAAAGCAAATAACTGCTATTTCAAATGCTATATAAATGTGTATAAATGTGGCGTAAATCTACCACGAACACTCCTCCACACATATTGCCATATCATGCATAAACTCATAAATCGTAACTCATATCTTCTTTTTAAATACGCACCGACTGGCTCACGGTGCTAAATGTTCTTGCTGACATGGTTGAGGCTGCATCATATTCGATATTTGAAGCTGTCTCCCTGGCAAACCACTAGGGCATGTCCTAGTGAGTATAGTGTCAACAGGATATAGATAGCGGTATGATATATGTCGTGGGTGCGAGCTTTTCGATAAAATCGAGGTCGCGCCTAACGCTCCTGGGATTGCGATTGCGATTGCTCTTCACCAATGCGTGGTGGACTCTTGGAATGTGCCGATGAGTTCCTAAAGGGCGAGTGACTACCTCTGAGCAATCGAAATGTTAGCTTCTCGGTTCCGACACTCCCTGTGTCATGTTGGGACTTACGAGCGTCTCCGCTTCCCCTCGTCTCTCCTCTCCTCAATTACCTTGAGCATCGTCTTCCGGCCATCCTTGGCGTTGATATGGGCGTCCCGCATACTCATACTCACCTTGGTGCTCGCATCTGCTCTAAGCAGCCTCTTCAACAACAAGTGGCGCATGAGAACACAAACAAAAACTCCGCAATCGCTTCCATTCTCCTGCTGAGGGCTGTCTCCCATGGGTATAAATCTCAGTCTCTTTCCGAGCAATTGCTCCAGCTTCATAGTCGTGCTCCGTGCCTCGCGCTCGTTTGCCTGGCTCATGGAATCGTAGTGGAAGGAGACGCCATCAATAATTGACACCAGCAGCAAAGACCAATGGGATCCGCCTTCTGCCTGCGTCACATCCATATTATCGTTTATGGGTAGGAAGACATGTGTTGTGTGGCTGAAATTCGGTAGGGCTTCCTTGAGGGCGAGGGGCTCTGCGGCTTGCATGAGCATGTAGGACATGGAGGGGCGCAGGAGGACAATGGAGGCTTTGGGGTAGTTGATAAGCTCTTCGCGTTCGAGGTATTCCTGCCAAAAGGCAATTGCCTGCGGGGGGGTTAGTCACAGCAGTTGTTTGGACAGTAGAAGTGTATGCACACATTATCGGTGAGCCAGTCATTGGTCTTGATACTATCAAGATCCGCTCGTGTCACTATGCCAGTCAGTATTGTTGTTGGCTTGGTCGTTCTATGCGCAAGTCAAGGAACAGATGACGCACACACCCCTCACGTCGTAGTCTGCGCACGTTCAGTCAGTCGTCACTCTCCGGGCCATTGCGGTGACCATGACTCACATGAAAGATAGGCCTCATCCGGGCTGGGGTCTCCCAAACGCCGCCTCGCCTTGTCTTTGATTCTTGAGAAGGAGCCGTGCATGTTGGCACGCGCTGCCACCGTGATTTGTAGAGGAGGTGTGGTGTGGTGTGGGTGTGGTGCGATCGCGGTGGGTACCTTTTGCAAGGCTGCAGGCGGCAAGGGCGATGTTATAACAACAGCCCAGGCCTCTGGGGAATACGGTAGGTGGAAATGCCAGATGCCTGTCTCGCTGGGGCCAAGGCCGACCAAAAGATGCCGAAACCTTCATGCGGGCAATATGCAGGGATGACGTATGCGCCTGGCCAGACTCGCTAGGTGGGGCATCCCTGCTTGCCGTGGGAGATTTCTTATTGTAAACTGCAATATAATTATATATGTGTACCCCTTTTTTAAACACTGCTACAGTATTTGAGGGGTTTGCGGTGTTAATTGGCATGGTAACCATGTTCATACACGACAAGTTGTCTTGGTCCTTTATATGGCATGTGGCCCATTTATCCATTCATGCAGGACATATTAGAACAACATGGCTAGAGTTGGGCATATAGACGTGCTGTGTTATGCATCAATTCTTTATCTACATGTACATTCGTGATGGTCATCTTCTCCAGGAAACCCAGGAAGCGATTGCTTTTTTTTTGACATGCCGAGCACTGAACTTTTGTACACATCATTCAAGCAAGTCAGATGAATACTCTCAAGGCAGCTGTCCGACAATCTTGGCGCCGTTTGTCTGGTCTTGCTTTCCAAACTGCTCTGGTCTTTCAACCTTGAACAGCCAGTTCTTGTTGTCTTCAATCTTGCCCTGCTGAATTCCCTTGAGGGTTGTGAGGAGCTTCTTGCATACTGGGCCTGGCTCTTGTTGGGCTTCTGCATATGTAAACTTATCACCCTTGGATTGCATAGTGATAGATTTGATGGGAACCAGAGCTGCAGCAGTTCCGGCAGCTAGAACTTCGTCGAAAGTGCTCAGCTCGTCGTAGGCAATCTGACATCATCAGCACAGTCTAAAACCTAATGGCTCGCATGTCTTACTTCGCGTGACTCGGCCTCCCACCCAAAAGACTCAGCAATCCTCAAAACGCTATCTCCAGTGACGCTCTGGATGACATTTTTGCTGTTAGAGGCGACGAGCTTGACTTTGTCGCCATCCTTCTTCACGCCAATGAAGGCTGATGTGGAGAACTCGTCAACTACGCTCCTGGTCTTGCTGTCCAAATGGAGAGTGATGCCGTAGCCAGCTTTGTATGCTTTCTCACTATGTCTCAGTACTGGGGCGTAGTTTCCACCGACCTTTGCTGATCCGGTACCTTCCGGAGCAGCACGGTCAAAGTCTTCAAGAATGACAGCGTCCACGGGGTTGGATCCATGGTAGACACCGGTTGGGATACAGTAGACGACAAAGGTGTATTCTTGTGGAGGGTTTAGACCGAGCTGTGCAGAGCTTCCGAAGAGCAACGGCCGGATGTACATGGCTGCGCCCGTCTCATGGGGTGGTACATAGGCTGCATTCATGCCCACAGCCAGGCTGCAGCAAGCAAGGAAGTGGTCTGTTGGGACCTCTGGAATCGAAATGAATGAAGCAGAGTGCTGCATACGCTCGGCGTTCTTGTTTGGCCTGAAAATGTTGATGGTGTTGTTTGGCGCCCGGAACGCCTTCATTCCCTCGTAGCACTGCATACCGTAGTTCAGACCAGGCGCCATACCGTGGATACGGAGGTAAGGGTCTTCGACGAAAACCGGCGGCGTCCATTTTCCAGTCTGGACAGAATAATGTGATTCGACATGGCCAGCAACTTCAAATGCATTAGGTTATGACTCAATAACGGTGCTTTTTGGTGTCGGAATGTGCTGCACAGAAGGAAATGGTAAACATGCGGCATCTTCCAAAAGAGATGTGCCTTCTCTTGTAAGATGCATTGGTGCCATCAAGTATGCATAATCTTGTTTATTTTGAACGGAACATAGTCATACCTTCTCGGATCTTGAAGCCTACGTTGCTCCAATCTAGAGTACAGTCAGCAAAAAAAATCAACCCCGTGTGTCAGGAGACGGCAGCCAACGTACCGATGGTATCAACCGGTGGTGGAGGAAAGTCAGACATGATTGCTATAAAGTCAGTGTAGTGTGGGTGCTGGTGATGGGGTATGAATTATTATGCAAGATGGAATGGGGCTCGGAGAGTTTTGGTTGCTTCCAGAGGGTCAAGAAGGTTACTAGCTAGTAAGAGAGCGATATCGGCGGTTGCGGACCACTGATATCCTGAATCAGCCGCTACAATATATCATAAGGTGCTGATGTCCAGCCTGGTGTTTCCCTTTGGAGTCATTATTAATTTTGCCTTGCGGCCGTGCTGCGCCGCGCTGCATCTCGCGTCTGTACCTGCAGACTTACCCGCATGGTGGAACCACCCAGGCGTGACATGCCGTGTGTGTTGTTTCTTGGCGTAATCTGAGGCATCGAGGATGTGGTTATCTGTAACTGCGCCAATACACTACTTCTAAACACATCATGGATTAACGCTTCTCGTCTTGAACAACCTCTTCTTCTTATCTTGATATCCTAGACATATTTATTCCGTCATGTTTCGCGTGGCCAGTCTCCGCGCGCGGTTCGCAGTCCTCGCCATACTCGTCATGGCCCTCTGTTCATTCTTACTCCTAGGCCCCTACAAAGTCACTCCAGGTCATCTTGCTTTCACGACACCCGGGAGGGGTCTGGGCCATACTAGCCAAAGCCTGCTTACAGGACATGCAATCGCGCCAAAGCTGGGAAACGCGACGGCAAAGTATGTTGGTCATGCCTGGAAATGGAAACGTACACGTATGGCAAGAGCTGAGCTGACGCGCAATATCCAGAGCAGAACTTGGTCGCGCGGCCTGGAAAGTCCTTCACACAACCTTCGCCCGCTTCCCCGAGAAGCCTACAGAGGAGGAGAAAGAGGCGCTACGGTCATATGTCCACCTGTTCCAACGCCTGTACCCATGGTATGTCTTAGACAACGCAGGAGATCTGCGGCTGGAGTCACGCGCCAGCTAACAGTCGGTGTAGTGGAGAATGCGCAGAGCACTTTGGACAAGTGCTTGCCAAATACCCTCCCCAGGTATCGTCCCGGACAGCGGCAGCCATGTGGGGCTGCTACGTACACAACATTGTCAATAAAAGGCTGAAGAAGCCGGAGTTCAACTGCGAAGACATAGGCGACGCATACGATTGCGGTACGTGGATTGTCCAATGTCTACAGGTTACATGCGGCGTGCTAATGGGCTTGACAGGATGCGCAGAAGAATAATTGGGCAATGGCACAGCGGCAGGGACGTCCTGGTGACATGGACTAGCAAAGGACAAGGGACAAAGGAAGACTCGGGCAAGTCATGAGCCCTGCAAGACGCGCATGGCGAAGGACACTGGGGGTATGTGTGTGTCACTGTGGAATATGTGCAGTGCATAGATACAAGACAAGCGCCATGGCAGGCTGCATGCATGCAGGGACTGGGGAGCGAGCATGCTGCTTGTTTACGAGCAGTGCAATGTCCGAAAGGGAGACATGGCATGCTTGGGCATACTAGTTGGAACAAAGTCGGCGGGTACCTCACTGTGCCGCAGGGCGTAGCAAGGGAGCTGGGCGAGGCAGGCCAATAGGCGAGGTGGTGGTTGACGTAGTTGCTCCCACAGCCCCGGCCGATCACGTAGGCTTGCCAGCGGGGTTGGAGGCGGCAGTGTCTTAGCTGGGCTGTGGTGGTGGTGTGTATAGCTGGACTCGAGATTGGCCTAAGCAGAGTGCAGCGAATGGGTGTGCGAGCGATTGGCCTTATGACAGGAGCAGCCCTGTCGCTCTACAGCCACGCAGGCATGGCTTGCGCGACATGGCGATGGTCTTATCAGCGGGCGAGAGCAGTGGTGTCGAGCAAGTCAATCTACACGCAACAGCAGTCTGTGCCTCTCTGTGTGCCCCTCGTTGCTGGCCGCGCCGGTGCGTCGTGGCCGTTGGCGGCGGCTGCGGGTGGACGAACCAGACAGACAGACAGACAGACAGACGAGGAGACGGGCAAGACAGCAGCCCACCCGTTCCCCAGGCGCGTGGCGCTGGTGGGGAGGCGGATGCAGATGCAGGCGCTAAGCAGGCGGCATGCAAAGATGCGCGGTCGCATGATTGTATTTTGCCATGGTCGCGAGGGCGCGCTTCGCAAGGGGCCTTGTTCCCGAAGCAGCCTAGCGCATAGCAGCTTTTGTGCTATCCAAAACATCTGAAACCTTCCTTGGGTCAGCACCGAGGGGTGATAACGACGCCGCGCCCCCTCCCTAGCACACCGACTCTCCATTCTGCTCCTCCCCTGCGCTGCTGCTGCCAGCTGTTAGCTGCTCACCGCCTCTTGTCTGTCCGTCTGTCTGTCCTGTCGAAACGCCTGCCGTGCTGCCACCATGGTCTCCTTCTCCTGCGAGGTAAACACTGCCTGCCTGCCCTTGCTTGTTTACCACCACGTCCCCTCAATTGGCACCCCTCGCCTAGACACGCATTGGAAGCTGACTCTGCCGCTCTAGGGCTGTGGAGACGTCCTCACCAAGAAGAAGCTCGATGGCCACCGCAACCAATGCTATGGCGCTACGTTTACCTGCCTCGATTGCATGGTCCACTTTCCTGGCACCTCGTACAAGTCCCACACGGTATGCAATGCGCCAGCCCTTTGTCTCCTCGTGCGCCTTGCAACCGACTGACTCTGGCCTAGTCCTGCATAACTGAAGACCAAAAATACCAAGGAAAACTCTACAAAGAGAAGAAAAAAGGTCCGCCCCAGAAGAGGGACAGCGCATACCACGACAACTCGCAAGCCCTCACCCCGCACGACGCCTACGCCCAAGATGCCCCCGCCCAAGACAATGCCCTGGCTGTCGTCGATGCCCCGCCGCGCGCGCCGACTCCTCCTCCAGCGGCGCATTCCCTGGGCTATCACGAGCAAGCGGCCATTGAGGCTCCCAACGTCTTCGACTTCCTCGACCCATCCTCGACGCCCATTGCTCCGCGAACCGCAGCGCCCGTCAATGAAGTGCGCATGCTCGAAGACAGACCGCCGCCTGCGTACGAGGAGCAGTACATGCCTGCAATTGCCGACGTCATGAAGTTTCAAGTGGCCGATGACGATGAAACCTTTGCGCAAAATGGCTTTCCGCCCAATCAGATTCGCCCATCGCGAGAGCAGCACGATTCGTATACCACGCCTGCTCCCAAGGCGAAGCACTCGAGAACCAAGTCGCGCGACACCGACGTTGAGACGACAAGCAAGAAGACGGACCGCAAGCGCAAGCGCAACTCTCCCACCCAGCTTGACCTGTCGCTGGTTAGGGCTCAAGATGAAAAGGATACCATGATGGCCGATGCGCCTGCGACGCTGCACTCTGGCCTGACTGGAGGGCTGAGTAGATTGCTGGCTCGACCAGAATTCCCGCCGTCGCCAGACGACTCGGGCGACTATGCCAACTCGCCCTTGAGTCCCATGAAACGCGCCAAGCAGGGTAATTCATCGGCACTTATGCGTGCACAGCGAGAGTACGAGGAAGAGGAGCAAAAGCAGCGCAAGGCTGACACAAAGGTACGCGAGCAGGCAGAGAAGAAAGAAGCCGAAAAGAAGGAAAAGAAGGACAAGAAGGATAAGAAGGACAAGGACCGTGGGCGCGAACGTGACCGAAAGGAGCGCAAGTCCAATGGCACGTTGGTCAAGATTCGATCCAAGAAGAAGCGGGAAGACTCGACAAAGGAAGTGCGCCGCATCCGCCGCAGGCAGTACTCTTCCTCAGTTTCGCCAGCGCCTCGAGATCGCAAAGTCGTCAAGGCGATTGAGTACAACCGCTCGGCCTCTGACTCTCCAGAGCCCAATGGCGAAGGCCAGCTCATTGTGCGCCCCAGCGGAGACGTGGCGCCTTTCTCGCCAGACCTCAACTCGCGCGCTGGCCTATTCATGTCCTTCATCACCAAGGGACCGGATTCTGAGCGTGGCATGAGCATCAACAAAGCTCTGAAACGATACCACCGCGAGCGCCACGAGCACTTTGACCGTGTGCCGTCCAAGGCTGAAGACGAGAAAGAGCTCTGGAAGGATCTCCGCCTCAGGAAGAACGACCGGGGCGAGGTTGTTCTTTTCTTTGCCCCGGCTGAGGCTGCCTGACTAGACGGGGACCTCGACATCATCATGCGCATGCGGGCGTGGTCATGTTCTGATCCAACGCCCAGTCAAGGCTCCGACGACATGATTGATGTTTGAAAGCCAACGATTGAAGAAAAAAAGGTTTTTTTAGGGCCACGGAAGAGTGGCCATTCTCCCTCACACTTTTCCTCCTTCTATGACGATACCCGGCTTCCAGGTCATTGGCGATTTGGGTTGGCTTGGTGCATTATGTGTTATCTTTTACGTCCATATCCATGTGTTGTTCTTGTTTTTCTTTTACTCGTTTTGTTTCGAATATCATTCTGTTACCATGTACTTATTCTTACGGCCATACCTCGTTTGTCTTTTTTTTTTGTTTGTTTGGTATCTTTTGGCCAAAACACTTGCCCTAATACTCTACGGGCTGGGCCCGCTCCGCTTTGTCGACGTTGGGTTCCTGAAAATCAATGCTTTCCATGTTCATGCAATCAACAAATGCCGCACTTGGCTGATGAAGACGTGTTGCAAGTGAAGCTTGCGGGATGCGTTCCCGCGTATACGAGAGCAAGAGTGAGGCTCCCTAGCTGCTTTTCAAACGTCTGTCTCATCTAGCGCAGGGACAAGATGCCATGCTTGTAGCATGTCATGTTGGGACGGCTAACCAGGCATTCTGTCAGGCTGTTTTCTGCTTGGCCGTGTGGAGGGTGACGGCGTGCTGGTAACGAAGGTCCACCTTTTACTTGATGCAGCCTAGCGATTCGCTTTCCCTTGCTTTGCTTCTCCTCTTACGCCAAACGTTCATGGACGTGACAGCACACCCTGTTCCAGAAAGCGCGTCAGGGCCAGATACAGTTTGGCCGAGCTTCCTGATTAGTTTTCACAGCCAACAGGCAGAAGGACAGATGTCTTGTTCGGGCGGGGGACTCGGCAAACGTAGGCTTACGCTCCAGGCCAAGTACCTGGGCGTCCAAGCCCAGTGAATAGGGCAATGCGGATAATGCCCGCCTCAAGGGCACAGCAATGCTGGATGCGTCGTGGGGGGGGATTCAAACAAGAGCAATGCCATGATAGCGCTAAGTAATGGGGGCCCTTTGCAAAGACGCAGACATAGACGGACAACCCCACGGCTGTGCACTGGCTGCATCTGCATGCTTCACAGCCACGACAAGGCAAAGCCTCCCAGGTGGTCGGCTCATCCAATATAGTTCACCCAAGTGCCGCAGGCGTTAGAACTAGCAGACTCGTCCCGGATGGCCTGCAGCTCACGTCTCTGGCTGTGATTTGACGTTGCCGAGTGTCGCGGAGAGCGGGGAAGGCTGCCCGGCAGCACGGTGGCGGGACTACCACAGATGTAGCTGACCGGCGCGCAGACTGCAGACCCGTGCATGGTCAGATGGCACTGCTAGACAGCACCAAGACATGATAGTTTTGTCGCAGCACTCTCTACCACGAACAGCCTACGGCCATTTACTCACTTCTTTCACTAATTGACTAGTAAACAGCGAGAACGTGATAAGGCCGCAGATGACTACTCGTCAATTGCCCTGTCCGTCTCTGATGCAAGCCAGCGAGCGTCGCGCGCCCTCAGCCGTGTCTTGAGGTTGCCCCAGGCCGCCCTGGAAAATATAACTGCAGCTACCTTTCGGCCTGGCACACACACACACACACATTGCACACGCGTTGGCTTTGTTTCTGTCCATCTCTGGTATCCACTCCCCGCGCGTTTCAACTCCCCGCGCGTTTCAACCGCCCATTCGCATGAGACGCCCAGCAGCCGGGTGAACCTGGAAGGTCTTCATCCGTACCCGGCCCGCCAACGCCTTCCCCAGTCAATCAGCCTAGGACTATCCTACTCTACATCCGTGCCTCCGTGCCTGGACTCAGACATGTCCCATGCACAACAGTACGACAACTCGCCCAACGAGGGCTGGCAAGACCTCATTTCTTGGGACGGAGAATTGTACGACCCCTTCTTCCAGGGCGAGACCAACTACCCCCAAGCACAAGGTGGAAGCTTCAGCGCAGACTCTCAACTGTCAGGAAGCTACACATCCGAACCACCCTATTTGGTCTCCACTGCCCCATCAGTCACCGATTTGCCACCTTCGCTCGACTACACCCCAGTCTCCGCCTCGCCGTCACTTCTTGATGAGCAGTCTTCTCTCAACTATGCCTACATTGCCTCGCCTTCTTTAGACAAGGCGACCACTTCCCCGTTGGCTGTGCCCCAGGAAACCCAATACTATGGATCGTTCGGCGCGCCCGACAACACACTCCTATCCCCATTGGCAGACATTACAGAATCACTGATTCTGGATACACGCTATGACCGCATCCCAGAGACCTTCTCGTCGCCAACAGGCTCCCAAGAAAGTGCAGCCGAGACGGTCTTCAATCCTCACGTCACAGGCTCGTCTCATTCCTTCAGTGGCCTGGACATGAGGGCATCTAGAGCGTTCTCGACCTGGCATGCTTGGTCAGACCAACCGCGTATCATCGAGCCCATTCCTGAGGATGACGGTGGGCGGACAGAGGCCATGCCGATTCCCATCCCACAATCGCTGTCGCAAAGTCATAATACGGCATCCCCATCGTATCCGTCGTATTCGCCTTATCCGAGATCCGATGGGGGATATGAGCTGCATAGTCATAGTAGGGCCATAGCGATCCCGGACGCGGCTCGGAGACCTGCAAGCTACAATCATCGCATTAGCAACTCGGGGTCTGTACGAAGAGTAGCTACAACCCCATCTTTATCCCCTGCAGCTTCACGCCATCCTCGTGCAATTGCTCTGTCTAGAAGCGCTTCACTGTCTCGGCGCAAAAGCTCTACACCGTCGCCTACATCCGACTCTTATGGATGGGTGGCGTACCAACCCAATCCACTGACGAACAAGCTATCGCCCATAACCACGGATGGCTTGTCTGGAAGAGCACAAAAAGGGAGAAAGAAGGCTCTCACACCAGAGCAACGACGTGATGCGGCGTTGATGCGCATCGTCCGCGCGTGTTCAAACTGCCAGAAGCGTAAAGAAAAATGTGATCCGGGCATGCCGTGCAAAGCCTGTCTAGAGCACTACAAAGGAGATCTGGTCAACCACCCCTGCCGTGGTCATACGCTCAGCGATTTATCGGGAGCGTTTCTTTCCGATCGCCTTGGATGGCATCCGACTGCTCGAAACCTCGAGTCATTTACCCATACACGGCACTTCAAGATCCTTCCGGATAGTACTTACACCGTTCCGATTAGCTTTGGCTTTGGTCCGGCGTTTCCGGTCTCTGTGAACGCCATTGAGCTTGACGACCACCCATTGGTACATGACCACATTGTGTACTCGTGGCCACCAGAGCCATTCTCGGGACCGCCCCACCGGCATGCTGTCCTTCCAGCTGCCCTGTGTCCCGATGCACAAGCAAATCTCCCTCAGACACTAGACTCGCACCTATCCTTGCTCGTAACGCAGCACTTTCACAATTTCCCGTTGTACTGCTCGCCATTGAGGATCCTGCGCGAGGTATGCATGTTCTCGTCCTCTCTTCCCAAAAACACTCTGCACTATCGGGTGTTGCATGACGCACTCAAGCTTCTTGTTCTCGTTCATGTGGGTGGCGACATCACACTACCATCGCGATCCGAGAGCTGGGTCCTGGCACAGCTGATCAGCAGTACGATGAACATAGCCAAGGATCTCACCCCAACGCCATGCTTCATCCGGGCACAGTTTGGTGCTGCTATGCCGAGTCTTGCCCATGACCTGATGAAGCGTGTGCTTTCGTCCTTGGAGCAATTCCTGTTGAACAAGGACTGCGACGAATGGCCTATTGCTGTTGCCGTCCTCATTACTGTTCTCATGACTATCGAATCTGTCCACTACCACGCCGCAAAGCTCCCCTACCATAACTTCTATGACGAGACAAACGCAGCCATTGCAGAAGAAGATCTAGCAGTCAACGAGCAAGGGGTTAGCGAGCTTCTGGATTTCTACAAGGCATGCTTTTCCGGTTGTCACGCTAGACTCAGGCTGGACTGGGAGGGTGAATCTTCACAGCCCCACACTCCTGCAGACAAGTTCATTGCAGGCCTGCAGGCGGCGATCAGACAGGCGAATGATGAGGGCTATCTTATGCAGAAATCAAAGGCCACGAGAGGAGATGACGATATGGGCTACTTTTTCGATAGGCTGGTGGTTCGCCTGCTGAAACAATGAGACAAAAAAGCTCTCTAATCATCATTGTCGGACACCGGGAGTGACTCATTTCGACTCATTTCGTCTCAGACTATGATATCGTTTGTCTTATTATTATACCGTTTCGCCTTTCATGGGGGACTGCATTACTCCTCTTCTTCTTCTTATACCCCTCTTATAGACAACCTTTTTTTTTCAAGTTTTGTTACGATGGAATGACCGGTTTACGACTGATGCTAGCATTTGGATATATTCGCTTATTTTTCTTCTTTAGTTTCCTTGACTAGATTGTGCAAAAAAACTACCTACCCTGTTGTAAGTTAGTGTAAGAAAGGATATCTGCCAAGTAGATAGATAAACTCTGTTTACCATTTAAGTAACCAGTTGTCCTCCCCGCTTTTGATCTTTTTTTTTTCGGTGTCGTTGTCGTTGATAGGGAGGAGGGGTCATAGCTCATCATCATCATGTGGGCATTCTAGACCCTGAAGGGCCGACCACGAGATTTTCCCAGATTTGAAGTGTGTGCATACCATATGATGATGAGATGGTGCATACAATGTAATGAGATGTCGCATAGATCGAGAGACATAATGTCGTTGCCCAATAGCATGATTATCCCGGCGCGGCAGACATGGCGCGCGACAAGGATGCAAAGCACCATTTCAAGGCCATCCAACCAGCCACCCCAGCCAAAACGACCAGAGTAGCCATAGCCGCGATCATGCGGCCTCGCATCTCGAGCGCATCGCCAATCTCCAACCTGGCCACCTTGCGAATCTTCTTATGCAAGTGCCACGACTTGTGCCTCCTCTTCTTGTTCCCATTCGGCGTCACGAAGCGACTCTGCACTGCATCGTCTTGTTGTTTCGGCGAAATAGCACTATGCGGTTCGACGTGTTGGGCGGCGGCCGTGTGCCTGCGACGACCCCAGGTGGAATCGTCCGGGTCCTGATAAGGCTCCGGGTCGAGCCATCGCGACGGGACCAGGTAGGCTAGAAGCGAGGAAGAAGAAGTCGGTGCATGTGCGTGCGTGCGGCGGACGCGATTGCGATAGTTTACCAGGAAGAGCGATAGTAGGAAGGAAGTGAAGAAGACGGGGGTTAGGATAATCTTTTGTGATCGAATGTTGTTATAATCAGCGGGTGTGCACAAATGTGACCGGGGAGGGGTTAGACCCGTATTTAGCCTACCCGTGCTAGAAGAGGCTCGTTGCTGTCGTGCAGCGCGTCGGCCGGCGAAGATGGGGGCGATGGAATTGGGATTGTTGCGAGTTGCTCAAATGGGTCTGGTTTCTTCTTGTGTCTGCGCCGTGTGGCCTGTGGGGATGGCGGGGGGGTTTGTAGTTGGTGGTGGTGGTGCTCTGTTGGTGCAGCCATGGCGCGTAGTCGGTTTCCGAAGAGGAAGAATGAACGGTTATCAGATTCGGATGGATACCATTCTGAGCTTGTGCATACGAGCGGGTAGGCAGATCCCCTGGCTAAGATCTTGGTTCAGTGTGGGGGGAACGGACAGCGATGGGTGGCGGCGGCGCGGCAGCAAGCAGATATGTAGTGGAATTCCTGTTTTGACGTACATATAGGAATGGATATGCCTAGTAAACATGGTGGGCGATGCGGATCACAGTGACGCAGCATGCACTCACTCGGGGCTCCGTAGGGCTGGTAGCCCGCCCGCGTCCGCCATGACGTTTGAGCCCATGTCATTCCAAGTCCAGGCTTGGATTCTTAGGAGCGCCATAGGGGGTTTTTGTTTTGCTTGGGTCTGACAGCACACCGATCTGGATGTACTAGTATGAATGGACTGGTCTGACGCGATAAGCACTCAATCAACCAGAGGCAGCGCCATGGATGCACGCAGGGTAAGGCATTCACAGTGCCCCTCGCACGACGGAGCTAAGGGCGTTACGGGATCCGAAGGTCGTCTGGCTGAAGGGGATGCAGGCTAATCACATGTCGCACCAAGGGCGTCTCCTGCTCGCCCGACGGAGCACAGGCGCACCGCAGCCCTGTAAGTCCGTTAGATCCGAGAGCCCGAGAGCCCGCAGACAGGCCGCATGGCTGCCTGGAGCTCTACTTAAGTATGCAACAATCGCCGAACCCCTGTATTAGTCAGCTTTAGTCGCTGACCTAATACGAGCCATACGCCGGACGAAACTTACGTCCGGGTCTGCTTCATCTCTCGCCAGCCAACAGCAGCATCATCCACCAGGAGCTTACGTCCCCGTCCCCCCCCAGTCTACTGGATCCTTCCATCCGCCGTAGTTAGTGTGAGCCTCTTTATTTTGCAAACCCCCAAATTCCCGGGCAACACGATTATATACCACTGTATACTCGTCAGCAGGTTTTGCCTTTTGCCCCAACTTTTCCATTCGGACGAATTCGCGCAAGCGAGCTAGCCACCAACCAACCAAGAGAGTGGGACACGAACCCTCTCCATCAACATGCCAAAGGAGGAGACGTTGCCGACGCGCAAAAAGATGCGTAAGGGTACGCATAGCTGCTTCGAATGTATGTCAACCCTGTTGTTGTTGTTTGCGTGGGATAGCTACCTACCCTGCCGTACTACTTCTACACGGCACCGGTTTACACCACACTCATGTATCAATCTTACCTATGCACTGCTCTGCCCACCACCGTGTTCTCTCCCCGTCCTTGATAATTTGCGTGCTTTTCCCCTCTTTCCCTGAAAAATTCTGATGAAAAAATACAGGTCGTCGCCGCAAGATCAGGTGCATCTTTCAGCCCGAGAATCCCGATGTGTGCTCCGAGTGCTTCGCGCGCGGCAGCAGATGCATCGACCAGGAACACGCCAATCCAGATGTCATTGTCGACCACCGAAAGAACCTTCGTGAGAGGGTCTCACGTCTAGAGGCTTTGGTTGACTCTCTGCTCGAGGAAAAGACGGTCAAGTCGGAAAGCCGGAGTCAAAGCATAGCCGACACATCATCACCAAAAGCGCCAAATGTCTACAACAAAGACACTTTGCCCCCAACTCCACTTTCTTCTGAATCGCCATCCAACCCGCTCAAACTCACACACAACCAACGTGCTGCATCTAAACAAGGCCACCATATACCGATTCTTTCTGTTTTCGAGGATGCGGTATGCTATCTTCCTGTTCGTGTGCGTGCTTCTGATGCTCACTTGCCGGATAGATCAACAACGACGCTGAAGCACATGCAAAAGCCTTGAGCGATCCCCTGCAGCAATCTTCAACCCCCAAGCCCGACCAGGCAGAGGATGAGCGATATACTGTAGAGAATCAGCACGACGAAGACATTGTCGATAGCAACCCTTTTGTGAACTCTGCCAAGCGAGAAAGAACTAAACAAGCACTCATCGCCGTGCTACCTCCTTTTGACCAACTGACCAAGATCCTCCACACAAACAGTGACTGGTGGGATGTTTGGCGCCGCAAGTGTATGAGATCGTACGGGACTGAGCAGACGCTGTCTCAATTCGCTGCGCAGGCTTTGGCCACCGGAAACGTCGGAGCAATTGCCACAGTCGTTTTGTCAGTCGGAATCTGTTTACAAGACACTGAGCAAGTGTCACGGTATTTTGAGGCTGTTGACAGGTGGTTCCTGTGCGACGACGAATATGCCGCCAGTCTCGAGGGGTTGGAATGTTTTGTCATGAAGTCCAAGTGGTACGCTGATGTAGGCCAGCCCCGGCGAGCTTGGATTGCGTACCGCAAGGGCCTGATGTATGCACAGCTTATGGTGAGTTGATTGGTATTGAAATGCGCACATGGTTACTGACAAACACTAGGGTCTCCACCGCAAGCGTACTGCCTCTGTGGCCCACGAAAGCTTATGGTGGGCACTGTACCATGGCGACCGCTTCTTGTCTCTTCTTCTTGGTCTCCCATATGGTATCAATGACGCACACTGCGATTTGACAATGTTCGACATGGGAGAGTCCAAATACATGCACCCCATGGTCTGCATGGTGAGACTCTCACAGCTTGCAGGCAAAGTGATTGATCGCAACCAAGGCGTAGCCGAGCAGTCTTTTGCCTGGGCGCTACAACTCGACCAAGAGTTGGACGATTTGTGGAAGAAGTTTGATCCAGCTTGGCTCGACTACACTGAGCTTCTTGCCGACATCGGGTCGAATTCCGTAGAACTACGAGAGCGCATCATGGGCCAAATAGTGTTCCATCAGATCCGCGTATATCTCCATCTGCCGTTTATGCTCAAGTCAGCATCGAATTCGCGCTTCTCCTACTCGCGCACAGTCACCTTGAACGGCTCACGAGAGGTTCTACGCCTATACCAAGTGTTGCGGACTGGTGGCGTAACGCCAATTTACGAGTGCAAGGCTATTGACTTTCTCGGATTCACGGCCGCGATTCTTATGCTAATTGGCATGCTCAACGGCTCGTCCGCACAGTCGGCAACCTCGACCTCCAGCTCCAAAACGATTGAAGAAGACGTCCGCATAATTGAAAACTGCATTGATATCTTCCGCCGCGCTTCGAGCGAAAAGGGAGGCAATGTTGCCGCGCAATCTGCAGAGGTCCTGGAGAAGATAATGGCCAAGTTCAAGGGCACAAGCAGCGATGCAGACGACCTGTGCAATGGGCCCTCAAGTTTCGTCATCCCCTACTTTGGCACCGTCTCCATCAAGCGAGGTGGTCAGCCAGTAAAAGGTCCACCATCTTCATGCCGCTCGCCCGCCACAGTGAGCTCCAGATCGCCCAGCACATCGCACCAGCTCTTCACTCCCCCCTCAGGCAGACACTCATCATCTACCTCTGAAATATTCTCCCAGCCTTCCAAATCACTCAACTTCACCCCCAAGACATCCATGCACACTCCCATGGGCGCGACGAGCGTCAACCTCGACCCCTCACCTTTTGTCTCCTACGACGGCTTCTACAACTGGAACAATCTCAACGCCGACGATGGTTCCACTACAGGCACTTCGGTCCTCGACTCGCATATGCACAACGAGGGCATGAATGGCTTTTCGCTCCCCACCAACAACTTCTCATGGCAGAATATGCCCATGGATATCGATCAGGATTGGTCGTGGTTCCTCAACGACGCGCAGACGACGCAGGGTGTAGCTCCTGCTACCCCCGCTCAGGTGGTACCGCTTGATGCCTTCAATGCCCAGGGTTTCACGGGCTTTGGTTGAGTATGAAAAGTGTATTGCATGTCGACACTCTCTACAAGAATCACGGGGACCCCGGAGGCGTTTCTCGTTTCTCTTTTCTTTGCTTTCTTGCTTTCTTGGCTTGAATGCAACGTCTTCTGATCACGGCCTTGTTCAGTCTTTTTCTTCCTTACTTTCTTTTCCTTTTTTTGCTCACAATCCCTCACATTTCAAAAGAGATGAACAGAGGCATCTGTGTAATACCATAGTGTCATACTCATGATTTTTGGCGTATCTGGGTAGCAGCATTCTAGCATTTTAGATTTGGTACATGCAGTACGACTAGATACTCCACTTTGGCTACCTTGTAAGATCAGACATATGGAAGTCTTGTTTATTTATGTCCTTGCACCTACTTTCTAATGCCCTGCAAGCAATTCACACATCTAAAGGCTCCAAATGACAATCCTTCCATCTACACCAGTAGAACTGATCTTGCTGACTCCACTTCCGCTCTCCTCAAAGCTGCGGATCGTGTTGATGGTGTTCTGGTGCACAGTCTTAAGCTTGGTGTCATCCGTGCCCGATTTGCCCTTGAGATCCATCTGCCTAAACATGTTCAGTGCACTCTCCTCGCGCTGGTCCGCCAGGCCAGGGCGGCTCTTGGTCTCCAGACTTCCAGTCAACTGCCAACCAGACTCGTTGCCCTTGAGACGGAAGGCCTCGCAGTTGTATCCAGCAGCAATGATCTCATCCTCTGAGCTCCAGATGAGCGACATGAAAGGCAGTACTTGTGTGCTAACGCTGACAATGGCGCGAGGAGCTTGCTCAGGGCCACTGGGATAGACGACCGTAAGGGTACTATCGTGAGCGGCAAAGGCGAGGGCGTTACCCGAGGGAGAAAAGGCAACACTGTGAATCCATCCTGCGGTGCTGTTCAAGTATTCACCACACACAGTGTTGAAGGGCAGGCGCTCTCCCCAAGCCGAGGGCTCTGGGCGCTCATCGACACCCTTGACAAAGGAAGAGAGCACGCGAGCGTGTCCGTCAGTGGAGCCTGCCGCGAGCAAGACCGAGTTGGGGTGCCACGAGACACATGTGACGGTAGAGCGGATAGGCTTCTTGAGGTGCTTGGAGACCCACCAGTTGTCTTCCTCCTCAAAATAGCACACGGGGATCAGACGAGCACCCGATCCAACGGCAAACTTGGTCTCAGAAGGGGCCCAGCGAACGCAAGTAGCGGCTCGGTTGATTCGGAGGAGCACCAGTGTTGGCTTCCAGCCCTGCGGTGAAGGCTCCCATACGTAGGCATTGCGGTCTGTACAGTTCTGATTAGCCTACGAGCCAACAATGGAGGGTAACTTCAAAGCTCTACTTACCCTGCGAGCAAGTCACAATCTTGCCCGAGTTTGGTGCAATGTCCACGCCCGTGACTGTCTTGTCGTGACCCGTGAGCTCATCCTTGAGCTTGTATCCGCTGCCGCTCTTCTGGAAGACGTCGACATTGTTCTCACGTGCGACAGCAAGCGTTTGGCGATCAGCGGAGAAGGAGTGATCCGCAATTGGAGAGTTAAAGAGATGGTGGACTTCGGGGCTAGCCATGGTGTTTTTTTTCTGGTTGGGAAGTTGTAGGTGGGAGGTTTAGAAAAGAGGGGTTTGCAATAGGAGACTCTCTACTACTGCAATTGGGAGGGTCGTTGTGTTGGTCGAAGTGGTGGAGCTTTGGGCTGAGGGAGCCTTGGTGACGTGGGGCTCTATGCTCTGGCTGCGATGCACCCGGCGCACGGGCGTCTGTCTTGGCTCCTCCGAAAAGTTCACGGCGCCCGCAGAGCCAACGTGAACCGCGAATTGGGAGGGAAGCAAGGACAGCGACATTTGCACAGTATGGCACCCACCCCGATTGAACCCCTCCTACCATTAGGACCACTACTAAAATAAACCCAAGGGTGCTTCGCTCAAAAATATACCGCCACAATGATTCTCAGGCGCCCACTTCTCAATGCGACATCCGCTGCAGTATCAATACCAAAGACATGCGTGCGCAACCTCCAACACTCAATTCCCATGCGCCCGGTCCCCAAGCCGATACCCTTTATCCCCGACCACACGGCCTTCCTCAGCGCAATTGGCCGCGGCCTCTCAGCACACGCGACAAAGATCCCCTCATGGGAAGCCCTCTTCACACTTACCTCGCCGCAACTGAAAGAACTCGGTGTTGAGCCCGCCCGTGCAAGACGCTACCTGCTGCACTGGCGCGAGAAGTTTCGAAACGGCGAGTACGGAATCGGTGGAGACTGCAAGCACGTCACAGATGGAGTTGCCGAGCTGAAAGTCGTCGAGGCACCTGTGCCGCCGAACCCGCAACTCGGAAATACGATAAGTCCTCGCTCGGCGGCGGCAACGGCAACACACGACCCGGGAACTAGGAAGTTGGTTGTCAATGTGCCTGTTGGTGCGGATAGCCCTCCAGAGCCTGTAGAGACACTGCCAAAGGTTCAGGGTGTTGTTATAAAGGGTGCCAACACTATCAAGGGTAGTTTTGTGGAGCCTGTCAAAGGAAGCGGTGGTCTTCGTGCTAGGATACGGCTGCAGGAGGGCATCTGGGAAGAGAGGAGGGGACACAAGGTTGATGGTGGTGAGAGGAGAAAGGCAGAGGTGAGGGCGAAGAGGAGGGCTGCTGAGAACAAGGAGAAGGCGCGGTAGATGGAGAGAGCAGATGGAGATACGTTTGCTTGTACCATGAATCAATGTATCATCCTGGAATTTCTATGTGTGTGACTCTTAAAGACTGATGATTGCAATGCAGGCAATTGCAGCATCACGGGACTTTACTGTTCTTTGTTCTAATTTTGCATGAGAAGGGTATTGGGACAGGCGACGAGAGACTCATGTGTAAGCCCCCCCTCCCCCCACGCACACACACAATCACATCAAACCCTACTCCCCAAGAAAGGTCAGCAAACCATCCCATCCCTCTAAAGAAGAAGAAATATATAACCAGCAATCCCACAAATCAACTCAGACCATAACTTTAATTTCTCGCACACCAACAACCACAACCCATCAACCGAAGATTGGCGAAAGGTGGGCTATCTACTACGCAGTATCTGAACGAAGGGAAGCCAAAAAAATGCACAAGATGCATTTTTTTTTGGCCCACCTATTGTCATCATTGATGATTTCTTCGATTCTTCTATATCATTTTTTCTTTCAACCGAACCAGAAGAAAGAAAGAAAAAAATATAAATATATAACCCAAGAGGGTAAAGAAAATTTGATTAAACTTACATAGAGTTATATATCTCTCTGGTCCAGTTCGGGTGGAGTCAGAAAGCAAGAGCATCGCCAAAGTAAGTAAATGTGAACGTATTTAGTCCGAGATTATAACTTTTTCCCCTGTGCCCTGTCGCAGAGAAAAAGGTAGTCAAAAAAAAAGATGGAAAAGACTTTGCTTTTTTTTATCTTTTGGTTAGTTACTTAGAAAAAAAGATCGATTGGGGGAAACACAAAAAAAAGGGGGGGAAGGGGAGGGGAAGTGCAAGGCGGAGGGGTATTTATTCAATACTCCCGACCCAAAGGTCAATAGAAAAAAAGGGGCACATCGGTTCCATGGATAAGCAAAGGATGCTTTATTCACAAGACGAGGCGGACATGTCTCGGGCCAGAGTTCAGAGGGTTGAGGAGTGAGAGAGAGAGTGTGTGAGTGAGTGAAAAGGGTGGTTTCGGGTCGTGGGTTGACTCGCCACAATCATTGGGCACGCGGTTGGACTTTGGGCGCTAGTCTAGCCCACTAGCGTGATGTCATTTCTTGTACTCGTACTTGGGGACAGGGAGGCTTGAGAAAAGCAGCGCCGATCAGTGTTTTTGTGTGCAGATAGTTTCGAGCACATGGTGACCGAAACACGACCAAGGCTTGTATGCAATGAACAACGAAAAGAGTATTCAGAAATCACCGTCAGCAATGTCACACACAGATGCAGCAAAATTCAAAAGCAAACATAGTAAATAAAGAGATCTATCAAACTTTTTAAAAAGACACTTCCCACTATCATTTCTCAACACTCAACCTGTGTACAAAACTGCTTTACATCCTTCCTGATCACCCTTCCTCACCAACGTTTACATGCCCATGAGAGCAGCAGCGCCAGGCTCGCTACACACGTAAACGACTTCGTGGCTGTCGCTGAAACCATTGAAGCGGGTAGCAGAGCACTTGGTGTACGCGCCCATCTCCTCAAAGTAGAGCCAGTCGCCAACATCAAGCAACTCGGCGAAGTTGCAAGAAGAGGAAATGACGTCAATGCCATCGCAGGTTGGACCCCAGATGGAGTACTCAACCTGAGAAGGACTGTCATATCCTGAGCGACGCACATCGTACAAAACGTTGTTGCCGTTCTTCAAGACACGCGGCACAGGGTGCTGGTGATCGAAGATGATGCTTGAGAAGTTTCCGTAGACACCATCGTTCAGGTACAGCATGTACGAAGTAGTGCCCAGGGTGGCATCGGTGACAGTGCGACGAGCAATGACGTGGCATGCAATGGTGAAGGCAGTGGAGACGTAGTAGCGTCCCGGCTCTCCAATGACGCGGATGTGGGGCGGAAAGTACTGGTCCAAAGCTGCGGACAAGACTGCGGCCATGGGCTCGAAAGTGACATCGCCTGTGAAACCGCCGCCGACGTCGAGGGTATGCATGTTGAAGCCAAGCGCATCCGCCTGCTCAAAGACAAACCGGGCATCCTGGACAGCCTTGACAAAAGCCTTGGGGTCGGATGCGCCGGATCCGACGTGGAAGGCCACTCCAACAACGTTGAGCTCCAACTTCCTGGCCAGCTCCAGAAGCTCACCAGTGGTGTCCAGAGCAGCACCAAACTTCTGACTGAGACGACACAGGCTAGCTGAGTCATCAGTCAAGATGCGCAGATAAAGCTCGGCGTCCGGGAAGAGCTGCTTGGTCTTGTAGAGCTCATCGGCATTGTCAAAGGTCATTTGCTTGACGCCAGACTGAGCAGCATAACGCAAATAAGACTTGGTCTTGCAGGGCTGCGCATAGATGATGCGAGAAGGGTCAACGCCCAGCTTGAGAACAGTCTCGATTTCATTCTTCGAAGCACAGTCGAAGCCGAGACCCAGCTCCGTCATGAGACGAAGGACTTGGGGGTCGGGGTTGCACTTGACAGCTATTCACTTGTCAGTCACAGTTGTTTGTGCAAAGAGCAGTCTTTGTTTGAGCTTACCATAGTGCGGCTTCACACGGCTTAGGTTCTTCTTCCAGCGCATATGCTGGCGGTAGACCTCGCCCAGGTCGGCGACGAAGAAGGCATCTTCCTCGCCAACACTGCAGGTATCAGGATCAATAGCCTCGACACGGCTCTTGAGAGCCTCCCCAATCAACTGCTTGGATTTCCAGGCGCCATGACTGTCGACACTACCAGATGGATAGGTGTTGAACGACGTTAAGTCTTTCAACGGGAATTGGTACTCTTGAGTAGGTGTAACAGCAGAAGGTGCCATGCCCTTGATGGTAGCTTCTGAAAGTTGGGTAATGGCTTTGGTATAGGTTACTGGCTGGATGGAAATCCCGCGTTAGGGTGGCTTGAAGGGTGCGAAGCCGAGGCTTGGTGTTGGGCGAGGTCTGGCCGCTTCCTCAGCAAGAGGAAGAACCGCTGATGGCGTCCTATGCGGCAGCTGAAGTTGAGGCTGGTCGAGGGTCTGGGTAGGAGACAAAAAGAAAAGACGCTCAAGCTCCTTCTTAGACGGCGACAAGACGGGGAGGGGGGATGTTGTTGAAAACGTGTGGCGCTGGTCGGGCAGATACAACTTGAAGGTTGAGCAGGATCAGGGCCGAGGCCGTAGTGAGATGGGAGCCTTTGACGCGACCAAAGGCTGTCGAGGGGCGGCGATAGGCAGCTACGAGGGGGCAGACACAGTCGCTTGGTGGGCAGCGAGGTCTGAAGTGGCGGTGAATGGGGAGCAGAGGAGGGTGGAGGAGGGAAGGGAGGCGATGGCGGGGAGGTGGTAAGATGAAATTTCGCGCATTCGGTTGTGGTGCTGGAGTCTCCGAACATGACTTAGCATCCCTGCGCCGCCCAAGACGCGCAGCCACTAGCACCCGGTTCTGACATCACCTGTGCGGCCTATGCACGCCTGCCACGGTGCCTGACCGGCTGATGGCGACTGCGAGCCATGCTGAGGCTGAGCACCACCAGTTCGCAGCAAAAGGGCGCACAGAAGAAAAAAAGCCGCATCTTGGGCATCGACACGCCCAACACCCTCCACACCCCACCGTCGCTTACGCTGCATTTTGATTACACGTCCAACACGAGACGACGGCTGCCTTCTTTCGCCCTGCCGCGTGCCAGAGCATCCATTACATGTATATTTATTGCGTCCTGTCGCCGCTACCGCCGCGGCCATGCAGCCTGCTCATAACTACTCATGTACTAAAAAAAACAGGGAAAACGCCAGGAGCCCCTCCTAAATCCAGAATGCCGCTCTGCATGCATGTGCGTTATGTATGTGTGTGCTGAATCCAGACGCCGGCCAATCGTAAAATGCAACACTGCCGCCAGGCCAAACCGCCTAGAATTAACCCCAAACCCAAGATCCAATCTTTCATTCAACGCCAAATGCCAACTTTTAGAGGCGCTGCACCATGATGGGCACATCCGAAAGGTCCACCCCGTACTGGTGCTGGTAGTGCAGCGACTTGATCGATGCGCAGCTGTGCACCTGCCGTGTACCTGCGCTGCCTCCAACGCCTATGCCACGGCCCTCGTAGTCGTATGCCAAACCACCACTGTATCGACCCCACGCAGCAGGATTCTCTGCTCCCTGCACTTTGACCCCTGGTCCTATAGAAGCACGTTTGCTGCTGGCCACAGCAACTGCATCCATAGAACGCATGCCTTCGCCAATCGTCTTGCGGCGCTGTGCCAGCGGCCTCGAGGGTGCCCCCCATTGCGTGCCCTGCTGCAAAGTCTTCTGCAGGCTTACAGTGCTCTTGCTCGCTAGCTGATGAGCGGTTTGACTGCGCTGGTGACCTTGAGGACGGAAGCCCGCATTTGGCCCGAATGTTCCTATACTGTGCCTCTTTGATTGCTGCGCAACAGTATTGGGACCCGAGAGCCTGGCCATGTCGATAGACGGAACAGGCGGAACATCGAAATTGTGTGGGCGATGCCTCATTGCCCTGGCCTCGCCAGCTTCCACCTTCAAGCTGTGAAAGCTTTTACGTCGCTGCTGCGGCAGCACCTCTCTCGAAGCAGCAAGATCCCTGCTGTGCGCGCGGGCAAACTCAGCAGCAGCTTTGCTGTCCATGTTGACCATTGACTTTGAACGCGGAACTGCGGTGCCAAGTCGATGGGGAGAGGCTGCAGAAGCCACAGTCTGCTTTGGGAGATCTGGTGTCACAGCAGCATATGGAGAAGTGCCAATCGAGGCGGCAATGTGTTCCAGATAACCAGCTTCAATCGCAATATGCGCAGCTGCCTTCTCAGCCTCTCTGCTGTCACCCATCGACTTTCTTCGGAAGAAAGAGAAGCTCCTTCGGTGGCTGCTTGCAGACGGTGTCGGTGGCGGTGCAACCTGCAGCTCAACAAGCTGTTGAAACTCGGTGTGACCTGGCAGTGGGGCATGAGGCTTGGACTCTTCTGCAACGACATGGTCCTTTGAGGGATACGTCTGCGTCAAACAGTCCATGCCAGGGGTTCTTGTCACGCGTCTTTCGAATTGGGCTCGCACGTCCGCCGGGACATCGGGAATCTTTCCTTCTGGGATCGGCTGGCACGACTGGACAATGAGAGCCTCTCCCTGCGACGGTCGTCGACGATGAAGACGCTTCGGCGGCTTCCCGGGCGCACTGTCGAACGATGATTTGGATGAGACTGATCTAGGCGTATGGGGCGAGAGCAAACCCTCCGAAGTAGATGACCTCGCTGAAGAGTTTGCAGAATTCACAGACACTTGTAGAGACGACTTTGATCGGAGTGCTCGCGACGACTGTACGGTTACCAGAGCTCCTGGGCCGCGAATGCCGCGTACAGCACGTGCTGCGGATACAGACGATCCGGACATATACATATTCTCTTGGTTCTGCCTGGGGAAACCTGGCTGCATGCCTTCCTTTCCCTGGCTTGCGCCGTGTGAAGGCTGCGAACTATGACATTGACACTGAGAACAAATCGTGTAAGTAGAACCTGCCTGTTGTTCGCGTTCATCAATGGGCAAACTACCACCAGATGAATAGCCCGAATCAGTTGTGCGTGGAGGAGGTCGTTGTTTGGCCCGGTTCTTTGGCTTCTTCTGTACTGGAGTGCCTTGTCCAGGAGGCGCCAAATTCCTTGCAGGAGTTTGTGATGCAGCCTGTCCTGATGCCAGATCTTGGGATCTACAAGTGTCTTCCGACTTGGGGTAGTGTGTGTCATCAGAGGTGAATCCTTCGTCCTTGTTGACTGTGCGGTCCTCTTCGGATACCGGAGATGGGCTGGGGGCAAGGTGCGCCTGCGAGCTCTGGACAGAATGGGCCACATCGACTGGACTGTTGTCCACAGCCTCCAGACTGTCGTGTGACTGGTTGGGTGATGCAGTCTTGATAGATTCATCTGCTGACCGAACAAGCTTGACTGTAGTAGCACTCCTAGCAGTCTCGTACGGTAGTGACACTTCCATATTTTCTACGATCTGAAGAGAAGAAGTCGCAGGAAGTGTAGCGGATTGACTTCTTGCATGGCCGCGACGCCGTGTTGATTTCATCATTAACGGGCTGGAACCGGGCTCTGTTTCTGAAAAGTAATCCTCGTCTTCACCATGAGGGCGAATTGAAGCCCTGATACTTGATGCCGGTGAAGCAGGCCCGTTTGTGATTACTAGTGTGCCAGGCTTTAGGCTCCCTAGCTGCGAATAGTCCAGGTCGCATGGAGTTGATACTCGAGGCCTTGGATCAGCTTGAGCAGTGTCAGTTGATGACTTGGCCATTGTAAGATTCAGGTGCGAAGCAGCATGTGGGCTAGGTTTCGACTTCATCTCGTCATCATACTCAAGCCTTGCGGACCTCCATGAGTTCCACGTCCTACGACGTGCCTCGACTGGAGAGCTCCGAGTGCCAATTCCGGGTGTTTGAAGTAGCGACTGACGGCGCGTGAGCGATGTGGAAGAGGATTTATCGATAGCCGACATTCTTCGGCTGCTGCTTGGTTCGCCTGCTGGCTCATCATTCTCTTCGGGCATTTCCAGGACTTGCTGCAGAGCCGCGATGTCTTCCGGAGAGCCATTTTTCTTGACTTGTTGCAGCAGCTTTATAGCTTCGGCAATATCGACGTGTGAGCCTGAAATGAGTGATAGCTTGGAGTCGGCTATGCCTGCAAGCCTGGCTGCTGAACCGTGTTTGCTCCCGAAGCAGGATAGCGAATTGGAGCGTGAATTGGACCTTGAGTTTGACCTTGAATTCGTCCTCGAGGCCACGGACAGAGGTCTGTCGCGTACCTTTGCCGTGTCAACTGCGCTGTCCTTGGTCTGCGACAGGATGTCGTGGTCAAACTCGGCCGTCGTGGGCGAGAGGAGAGCGTCCCTGATCTGCTGTCGTCCTTCCGGACTGAGATCGGCAGGGCCCGAGAAGGAGCATTCGGGCGAATCGCTCTTGTAAGCCGTGTTGACGGAGTTTGTGTTGGTCTTTGGCTTGGAGAGCTTGTTTGCATTTGGCGTGCTGGACTGATTGCCCATGGTGTCGGGCTGTAGCGAGCGTGTGGAGAGCGGGGAACGCTCAGGCAGACAGAATAAGATGCATCTGGGAGATTAAGATTAACAGCTGGTGAGCGAGTCAATCGCTGGTCAAGCCGATGCGGGGCGGAGGTGAGGAGGGCGGCGTACGCTTATAAGGCCTGGCACACGGCGGCGTTATCAAAGTGGAGGCTGGTATGCGCGCACCAACAAGCGGTTTGGCGGTACACTAAGAAGGACGAAGCGTATTATTGAAGAAGAAGAAGAAGAAAAGGTGAAGGCCCCCGCACGAACGGGCGACTAGCGATGGTCCATGGCGCCGGTGACAGGTATCAAGGATGCTGGGCTAGGCCGATGTGCCCGCCGCGCGTGTTGCAGGCGCGGTGGGTGCGTGTTGCAACCGACAACAAACCTGGAAGAGAGGTGAGCTGAAACTTGGACGTTGCGGGTGCAGCGAAGGGTGAATGAAACAACCAATGATGGCCATGTCTCCATCCATAGCGCCCGCGGCCAATGAGGGTGTGGGGGGCGTTATAGGCTTGCACTGTGCTTTGCCGCATCCGTCATGGCCAACGGCTGATCGGAGCGATCCCGTCGTGGTTGTGGTTGTCGTCCATGGCAAACTGGCAGAGAAACCGGCATGCTGTCCTTGGCCCAGCCCAGCCGGAGAACAGCTCCCCAAGCAACCCACCGTGGCGGTGCCGATATACGCGGCGCCTGCTATATAGCCTGCCCATGCGGCCCTCTCCGCAACTGTGGCTTGCCCCCGCCGTCATTCCGTCGCTCATCTCACTCGCCCTGTGGCGCAGGCAACCTCCTCGCTCCAGCGCCCGTCGCTGCCTCACCTGCGCTGTATACTTTGCCCACAAGGCCGTAGCCAGTGATGCGAAACCGCCAGCCCACTGCTAATGTGTTTTCCCTCGTCGGCTCGCTTCTCCGCAACACAGGCTAAGCGTGGTTCGCTGCCCTTTGCAACACGCCCGTCGGCTTCGTTAGTCGCTTCTCAACGTCCTTTTTCAATACCTGACCTGCAGCAACAGCCAAGTCCTCTGCGCCGCTTTTGGCTCTTGATCGGCTGGTTTGCGCGCGACATGCGCCCTCTTCTCCTCGCCCATCTGGTTGCCGGCCCTGCATTCACCTTGCAGAGTGGTCCATTTGGCAGTACCAAAGGTGCAAACAAGCAGTCGGGCTAGCCAGTCCATGCATATGCACGCCTCTGCCACGCGAACAGTGCGGCAAGACA